GTATTTGTAACCAAGAGAATTTCTTTTTAATGTAATGAGTTAATATCTTAGAGCATCCGTATTGGTGATTTTTTGTGGGTATCATTAAATATAAAATTATTAAAATTTGAGTAAAAGAAAGAAAGAAAGTGTTTTTGGTTGAAATAGTAGGGTGTATTGAAATATAAAATTAATAAATTTGAGTAAAGAGAAGAGATAGTGGGTATTTTTGGAGAGAGAGTATCAAAAGAACCACAAAAATTTATGGATAAAGATGGCCTTTATAGTGGGAGGAGCAGCAACACGGTATTTTCCATTAAAATCATTAAATGACCTAAAAATTCAAATTAATCATAGTATTCCATAAAATCATTAAATGACCTAAAAATTCAAATTAATCATAGTATTCCATATAGTTTTATATTTCATATCAAATTATTAAAGCTTTTTTATTAAATAAAATAATTAAATATAATTATAGGGAAAAAACTACAAATACCAACGATCAACAACAAATAATTCGAAAAAAGCACAAGTAATTGATTTTTTTTTTTGAATAAACTATGACTTAAAAAGAGAAACTCAATCCAAATCAAATTGGGATTAGGCTTATATATTAACAGGTCGACTAAATTCTGAAGCCCAAAATTGGCCCATCTTCATTTAGGATTTGTTAAAAATTTTGAAAAAATCGTTGAAGGTTTTTTTTTGGTCGAAAATCGTTGAAGGTTAAGCCTAACAACGATCCTTTGAAACATTAGAGATGTCTAATCTTCTGAGGGATTTGGTGGAGGCGATTTTCTCTAAGCTTCATGTTACACTTTTGAGAATCGTTCGATTAACTTGCAAAAAATGAAACACACATAATTCAAAAATCGTTTCTTAGTAGAAAAAAACACCCAAAAAAGTTTAATTTATGGGATAGATCAGCTTTGTTTTGGATTCCATCAATTGTAATATCTATGGATTTTAATCTCTATGGAATTCACAACAGGGTTGATCCATCTATAAAGTGTGAAGGGCTTAAATCAAGTCAATATATCTAAGAGTCATGTCTAATGAT